CATTAACAGAAGGTGCTTGGCGCGCTCAAAGGATATGTCGTAGAGGTCTTCGTTTCCTACCCCCAACCAGTTGTTGAAGTCCGCATCTACCAGACCTTCCAAGACCGACCTGTATGTACAGGTCTCTTCAGCTTGATGCTGGTAGTAGTGGTACACTTCCAGCCTGGAGGGTAACGATATTCAGCGAGCGGCGACAGCGCAGTTTGGCATTCGAACGATATCATTGTCTGACAACGCTTACCATCTACACTACAAGAACATGTGATATCTATATACGGTGATAAGCCTCAGGATCGTCTGACCCCTGAAAATGCGGACTCAGCACATCATACAAGCCCTCCGGAGCTTATTCGACACAGCGCTCACACACCTCTAGGCTTCTATGGGCTCTAAAGAATTGTTCTATTTAGCTCTGGACTTCCTAGCATCCTCGAGGCGTACACGGACCCATTCCACGATTTATCTTCCTGGACAGGAGCTCCGGAGTGACTTAACCAATGCGACTTCTACATGAATTAGCTCCGGGGCCCGCGGATGCTTCTGTTGAGGGGTGTCGTCCTCATGCCCACCCTCCAGCACTCACTCCCCCTCGTTTCCATCAAAATACTGAAGGTGCGGATGTATACGAGTCACCATGAGGCCAGCATCAGTCAGCGAGTGGCCAGAGGTAATTAGCACATGACCGGTGCGTCGCGCGGAATGATGGGACCGCTTAGGGCAGGTGGCGGAGCGACGAGGTGACCTCTAGGGGCTGGGACGAGCAAGTGGGAGCGCAAGGGAGTCGTATGGTGTATGGTATAACGGAGGCAAGTGCTGAGCAATCCTGTGGGTAGTGGCATTTATTTGTTATTTATCTCCGGACGGTCGCAAAGCCATTCCTGTAGTATAAATTGTACAAAGTAGCATACAGAAAAACAAGTTTTGCACTTCACCATCTCAGAGAATTAGTGTTACTATCTCAGTGACCCTTGAAGTTCGAAAGCGTTGAACTTAGCGAATTATAACCGATCCTAGCTTTGCCAATAGGCCTGACTCGTCGAGTGATTTATCTCTGCCATCGATTTAATTATCTCTGGTGAGTCCTACATAGAGAAATAAGATTAACCAAGTCTCTCTAGCAATTTCTACCACCGCAGGCACGATCCTACGACAGGCGTTGTTGCTTGCGACTTTGATTGCGACTTTTCGGAGATAAATACTCCGGAGCGTCAACTAGCATTTGTTTCAGGTGTCAAAGTGTTTGTTTTATTTTCCTAGGTCTTCCTACAGACTACCCTACGTTGTCTTACTCCTCCTTCCCCCTCGAACGATTAAAATACCCCTCAGTTGTCTCAGACCGCCTCCACCCATACTGCTGGTGTTAGGTTTATTTGTTTTCTTTTGGTCCTTGGTGATTGTTGTGTGTCTGTGCATATCAACGGTCTGACCTTGAGAACTTGCACTAAGGTCAAGATGTTGTGGCTGCTACACGAGACCGACAAATCATCATAAGGACAGTATTGCTACTAATGTAAGATAATGCTAGGGATATTGTTAGTAATATATATAGGGGACCCAAGTTTTCCCCGGTTCTCTTTCAGTCAAGCTCCATCTAGGGCCAGGTAGAATGTCCTGTGCTGTTGTAGTCTGAGAGATACTTATCCCCTCTCCAAGAATACCTAATGGTGTGTATCTGTTGCATGGACATCTGGCATCCATCTCACATCATATTTTTATCTTACAGTCTGTTGGGCCTCATGATCATAAGCCATGGAATAACATGGATTTTCTTGATTCTACTTATTTGTAAAATGTCCATCACAGACTTATGTATGGCATGGAGACCCAGAAAACTAGCATGATTGAATACACATGTTAGATGGAGTGCACATAGACTCAAATCCTTCTCAAGCCAACACCTAAGTTTTACCTCATAATAGGCCTTCACCTGTACCTTGTGGCATCCACAAACCAACACTAATTACATAGTTGAGAGGGACTTGAGTGTGAACATTGAGATGCATGCCCGACCATGGCCAAGTCCTTGTTCAATAGTGGCGCCACTAGAGCCAAACATAGCACGCCGGATTTTGCCGGTGCGACGAAAAGTGCTACAGTGTCGGTCGCTCAAAACCGACGCCTCGGGCATAGCCGAACGCGTGATGGTATCTCGTCCCGGGCAAAGACTCCAATGGGCCTGAAAACAGGGCCAATCGACTCGGATTGCCCGTAGCTTTCAGGCTATCTGATTACTTTCTCGAAATTCCAATATTTAAAAATTTGACATACCTGAAAAGTGAATTTGAAGCGGAGTTGCGTCGGAGTTACCATATATAGATATGCATTGATGGCTGTAATTAGTAATACGCCCTAACCCTAATGCAGTTAACCCATAATGGGTCTACTACCCCTATGTCAGGTCCCATTCTCGTTACACAGTTCTTGATACTCAGAGTGTCAGGTAAGCTTGAGGGCATATGAGCTGACTTGTGGAGATCTAGAATCATATAATACGCCCTCATACAGCACTATTTCTGGAGTAAGGTCACCCTGAAGGGGCACTGGGACTTCTGTGAGTGAGGATACCTCACCTTTCGATGCTTGTTATACACCATTCAACTCCAGGATCATTCCCTCAGCGAAATCCGCAATATTGAAATTTCCACCCCTAAAAGTGAACGCTTACGTAATCCATCAAAAAATCGAAATTG